CCAACGTTAGCAGCAAGACGACGTTGAGCTCACCCCCAGCCCTGATGTGGATCCTCAATAGTACTATGAATGGAATCACGTATGTTTGTCTGACCGTAACTGTGTGTGAACGTTCACTGCAGACAGTATGTCTGAGCCTCAAAGAGAAAGACAGTGACAGTGAGAGGGAGGCTGACTGGAGCACTAACGGGAGAGGTGTATTTGTTTGATGATGCGTTCAATTGCCAACACTCTTTCTCCAGAATCACTGACTGCACCTTTAGGTGAGAACATAATAAAATACTTCCTTATCAGCAACAAAAGCATGGCATGAATACTGCAAAAAGAAAGACTATCTTACTTTAACTTTACATCATCAACCATCTGCTCGGCATCAGAGAAGTTGAGGACCTGGTCTCCTTTAGGGAGAGGCTGGACTGCAACACACAATCAGAGCAACAAAATGATTACATACAGAACTGTACAGAACTTCATTTAGGTAAACAGCACCCAGGGCTTCCTCATATCATATCACACTAAAAAAAGCCTTACACTTAAGTTTATACTTTGCATGACTATTCGAAAGGGGTATGGTCTTTATTGGCTATCCAGATTTTTATTTATCATTTCATGGAGACATGGTCTATATTAAAAAAAGCATACTTAATGCTTTGGAGTCATATTGGTATAAATGTGAAGGTAGTTCAACATACCGCTCTGATCATCCAGTAGGTAGTACTGCTTCAGCAGCTGCCAGTGTACCAGCAGGCTCTTGGGGGTGCGAGACGGGTGAAAGACACCGGGGTGTTTGCTGAGAAGCTCCTGGAACATGTCCAGTTTAGGCTGACTAGTCTGTTCAGTGAGAAATGTAATATAGAACTGCTTGTAAATAAAGCATTCAAATATGTACATTTAAAAAGTTTGCTATATGCAACGAGCTGGACACACTTGCAATTACATTTCTCAACCATTAAACTGATAACTTTAAGATGATTAGATCGTTGGATATTTCATGGTAGTATATTTTTGACAACAGTTACACTTACTGAACCAATCTTAGCCAGCAGTGCTTCCTCAGCCTGACTGAACAGAGCTTTGCTTTGAATTGCTGCAATGGCCTCTGGGTGGAGCTGACGCATGGCCTGCCATGCCAGCCTAAACAGAAACAAGAGGGAGAATTTAATTACTTTTTAAATGGGTATCCAATATAGACACTTGGAGGGGAAGGTAAAGCTGCTGCAGGGTAAGTCTGTTCTTACTTTGAGATGACAGGATCGTAGAGGAGAGCGTACCACCTCTCTTTTATTTCCCGCAACGTGAAACGACAGCTGAACTTCACTCCCAAGTGAACAGAGGTGAGGTCTGTGGTCTAGAGACAAACACAGACTCCTTAGATCATGAACTGACAAAACTCAGTCACACAGAAAGTAGTCACATCATTTCCTAAACATTGTCCATCGGTCAGACAATGACTTTAATGTCTACACTGCTCACCTGCAACACAGCATTGATAAGTAGCAGGTCATCAGTAGGTTTCCATCTTCCCAAGTCTTTAGTAATATGTAGAGGCTGCTTGCTCTTCTTTACTCTTTTGGTGATGGGCGCAGGATTTACAACCATGGTGAGAGGCGGTGTGAGAGCGGTTCCTGATTTTGTCACCTGACAGAGAGGCACAAAAAAATCCATTGAACCTCTGGGAGCTTATCATCTTTGCCATGTATGTGTGGGTTTTCAGGTCTTTCGTACCTTTTTTTTCTCGCTAGATGAAGGTTCACTCCCTGAACAGCGGACAGGCTCTATGACAGGAGGGCCTTTGACTCTACTGGACGACTTCACCAGACTGCTCTCCACCAACTCATCATCAAACTTCTTCCTCTTTATTGACCTGAGTACATTATTGTGTTAAAACATATACAGCACTTCTTAAAAGATTTGCAGGTGCACCACAGAAAAACAATGTAAAATATTCATAGCATTACACACAACATCTTTGCTGTGATTATTCTAGTATACACATGGAATAATTCAATACACAAGAGTATAACTCAAACCTGGAGGAACTTCTGCGTTTGGGAACAACACTGCCAAACGCTTGTGTTGCCGTCCTTTTCACATCTTTTACTCCAAGTGACTCTTCATCCTCTGATCGACTTTGGGCACCAGCTACTGCCATCGGTGCACCGACCACAGGGTCACCTGCTTGCATCTGTGCAGTAACAACATGAAACACATCAGAGGGTTCTCACACTAGAGTGGCAGCACTGACATTATGGTGAGACTTGTCATCATTGGATCACCACAGTATAACCCTTTCACATGACTCCACAGAGTTGCAGTGTCCATACAGCAGCTGCAGCTTAATCTTACTCCAGGTTGCACGATATTTTTACAATTCAACAACAGTTTGAGCCCCTTTGAAAGAGCACCTGCCTGTAAGGGTTGGGGTAAGTATGAGGTGAGCAAAAAGTCTATAGCGTACAGGATCATCTTAGTTAGACAGTCAGGTTTTATAAAGCTGTAATGGGAACTCGATGAATAAATTACGTCAGCCTGCGATCATGACAAGTTAGGTTATAACCCAGTTGTACTCATCTGAACACCACCTCATACCAAAATGATATTGCAGCTTCATTACGGTAGCTCAGTTGGAAATTAAGTTAAACAAGTGAGGCGGGTTGCGCCTTAAATTGTAGTAATTTATCCACAAAGTTACTTTGAAACCCTGCCGAAATCCCCTTTGCAATTAGCTATTATGTCACGGAGGGACTAGCTAATCAACTTAGCGATGCTTTGTTTACATATAATGTTGGCCATGTTAACTCTACTTTTGCCTAAAATGGGCAGTACTTAGTATATAATTAATACCTGTGCCGAGCAAGATAGTTTACCCAGACAATTTTATACTAACGTTACAGTCTGTTAGTTAGCCTCCCTAATTTGATCAAAATAAGGCTCGTTTATATTGGCTAGCTAGCATTAGCTTAGCTAACACAATGTCCTTGCGATAACTACCATTAGTTAACCAGCGAGCTAATGCAGCTAGCTTCGCTGCCTCATGACTCACCTTTCGTCGCTGTTTTCCTCCTTTGTGGTATCTGAGCCGTTATGTGGAATTTGTATGGTCTATTTATCCTTTTTTATAAACACATCGGTTAAACGTTAGCTAGCTACATTGCTAATTGGCTACATGAATTTGCCGTACGCCCGTTAGCATTAGCTACGCTGCTAGTCTGTTTTCTTCCTGTGAGGTATTATCGCCGTTAGCAGCTTTACAACTCAGTACCGCCGCCTGCTGGAGTGGAGGGTCAGTCTGAATCATCCTTTGCTAGGTAAGTAAGTAAAGTAAGTCAAATTTATTTATATAGCACTTTTCACAGAGAGGACTCACAAAGTTCTTCACAGGATTAAAATACAAACAAGAATACAAACATACAGGTCACATACAGAGACACAAAAATTAAACAGTTGTTGCGAAACTAAATCACTTAAGACAAGTTAAAGAATGCCTGCCTATACAGATAGGTTTTAAGATGCTTCTTAAAGATATCAACCGATGCTGCGGCTCTCAAATTCTGTGGGAGCGCGTTCCACAATCTGGGTGCAATGGATTCAAAGGCCCGGTCACCTCTAGTTCTAAGCCCAGTGCGAGGAACTGCCAACAGGCCGTGATCGGCTGACCTAAGTGTCCTACTGGGAACATATACATGCAGCAGGTCAGACAGATACTCAGGTGCCTGATCATGAAGGGCTCTGAATGTTAAAACAAGAATTTTGAACTGGATCCTAAAGCTGACAGGTATTTTACATCTACATGAAATGTCGTCTAAGTATTTGAAACTGAAGTTGTTACCTTAGTTTTTATTTTATTTTATTTATTTATTTATCTTTTTGCATTTGGGAACCCAGACCAGTACAATTTTCATTTTTTGATCCTGTTTCAATATTTCACACCCTGCTGTTGTCTTAAAATGGTGCTGAGCACACATTATATTATAATCATGATATTATCCTTAATAATATTACTGCTAGCAGTATCACCTTGGCCAGAGAATGGCCCCAGTCCAAAAGTCTCGAACTGTTAACATCACCCTTAATCTGTTTGAAATGCTTTTAAATGCATCCATGTATGTGTAAATATCAATATAACTTGTTAACATATACATTTCAATGGTAGATCTATCAGTTTAAAATTAACTTTCATTCTCATCTTACTTTCCAGTAATCCATTAACCACTGCCAACTTCATGAAAACCATCACAGGAAATGTTAGAGGTCTTACTATGATAGTTTATTGCTTTTTTTTTTCTTTTGTTTTTCTCTGTTAGTACACCAACCACAGCTCCAAGCTTTCTTTTTCCTTTTCCCAACAGGGATCCAAAATTTTTCCAGCATAGTCATATGGTGTTTTTGATGCCCCTGCAGGTTTACCCAGTGTACAGTAACAAAATCAGCATTTATCTCAAGTCTAGTGGTGTTACTCCCACGGTCCATTTCTCCAGTCAAATACTGGACTTTGGTTTCACTTTGGTCCTCCCTTATCAAACATCTAGAAAGTATAGTGCACACATCTAATACACTTTTACATATCAGGCTGCTAATTGTAGCGTTCAGAGCTGATATCACATTTTGACAGTTCAATAACACTATGTTTTGACATGGATCCTTAGTTTCAGGTTAAATATCACTGTTTGGTACTTGGTCCAAATTATCGACCCACAGCAACTGCACCTCACCTCACACTCCACATGGTCACATCACGCAGGAACTTTGATACGCTGTGTGGTATTTCCTAGAAATCACTGCCTACGTGCCGCACTAACAGCACACATCTGATCAATTGGACCTAATCTGATGCAGCTGATGTTAGAGGTTGAGGCAAACACTGAATTGTGACAGAGGTGGCTATTTTTGTTAACAAGACAAGTGGGCATCACATTAACACCAACAGAAACAGGTAATATTATTGACATAAACTGGATTTTCACTGGTTTGACCAAATAGAATCAACACATAGGCAGAAGTCCAACTTGAAACCTTTTAATGGCATTTATAGTAACAGTTTTAAAATGTGTTAAATTAGAATAAATACAGTGTTCAGATACTGAAGCTTATTACACTTACAAAATGGTAGTATATCACTCAGAGTAGATTTTATAAAAAAAATTAAGGACAGATAAAGTTGCATTGTAGCGCACTGTTGAACTGTGGCATACATTTACATTTCATACAATACAGACAAAGCCTGAGTGCAGAGTAGCCTACGTTTTGAACAGTGGCACCATGCGTTGCTACACAGGAATCATTTCAACAGCTGCCTTTTTTTTTTCTTTTTCAGAAAGAAACCCGTCACTAACCGTACACCATAAGCACCTTATAAAATACACTTTGATCAATACCATAGCTACATAAAAGTCTCACAGTAGCTCAGTAAGAGCTGAGGAAACAGCGTGTCCATGTGCCAGTCCAAGATTCTCCTGATACCTCTGAATAATTTACAGCACACATCTCAGACTCACATACAGAAATGCTCTTGAAATGAAATATGTGCACTACCAGGACACACGGGAAATGCTGCATGAAGTTAAAACTGCAGAACACCACAGGTTGTCATAAGATTTAGGAAGGGGTTACTAGAAAATCAAAAATCAGCGTCAAATACAGACATGTTGCAAATTCCTTGAATTGCAGCCTTGTCTGACAAAAGTCTGAAGATTTTCTTTTGAAACATACTGAAGGAGATCACTGGCCTGCTCTTGGCCTCTGTGCAAATAAGTGCTTGATGGTGATTTTAGTCTAAAACACCCACAGTCTTACATTTGGAGTTAAACCGCTCCCACTGCAAAGCTTCGGTGATGAGCTGTCACTGCTCATCCTGCATTCGTTTGTCCTTCTCCACACGTCAGCCTCCACACCGCTGGGTTACAGGTACGGAGGGCTTTGGCCTTTGTCGTGTTGAAGGTTGAAGGTCTGCTCTGACTGTGTGCAACAGGCTCGCGGTTCCCGTGATAACTCCGCCTGCCAGCACTCTCTACTACGAAGAGACTCACATTCTCGTTCATGTAACAAATCAGCTCAGGAGACTGGGTCATCGTTCAATAAACTGGAGGCTAATGACACTTTCAGGAACCAGAAGAGTCCGAGTCATGGGCTTAACTGAAATCCCCTCTGGGTCCGGCTTCACATCAAACTCTATGAGGATCTAGTGGGAACAGAGGAAACAGATTTACTCCAAGGTGACTGAAAGGGGAAAAAAATCAAGTGCTCATCATGTGCTAAGTGTTGGGTAGTTGCTGAAATCCCTGGATTAAGTAATCAAATTAATTCATTTAGAACTGGATTTGCACAACGGCTCAAGTCCCCTTCTTTTAGTCTCTTACATTATTCCAAGAAAAAATGCAGCAAGAGGATTTGTCGGAAACACTGCGGTTTCTGACGAACCGTGTTTAATCGGAAACAATCTAAAGCACTTGTTAAATAGTTTAAATAATCTGTGTATATGCAGCATGCAACAGAGTGTGTTACAGAGTCTTGAGACAAACATGTTATATACTTTTTATGTGTACATGCTGCATATGCATCTGTGAACGAGGTTAAAACTAATCTGATTTTCAGCGTTCAATTACTGCTGAACATACACATTTTTCATCATAGTAACTGGCAAAAAAAGTCTTCCTTGTTGTATCATAAACTACCTATTAAAGTCTTAATAAAAACTCACCCTGGTAAGAGCGAGGTAGAGCTCCAGCTCGGCAATACGACGACCTATGCAGCTGCGTTTTCCCACCCCAAAGGGTACGGAGGCGTACGGGTGGTGAGTCTGGTCCTTGTTCAACCATCGATGGGGCATGAATTCATCTGGATTTGGAAAGACGGCTGGATCCCGCGATGTTGCAAAGTGGCACAGAGTAATCAGGGTCTGGATGGAAAGATTTTATTGTCAGATACGTGTAACATTCACATTTAGCCCAGTATGATGCGCTCCTCACTGTGGAGGCCCATTTCTGCCAGTGTCATGAGTCTAAAAATAATAAGTTAGTATCTCAAAATAATGAGAAACTTTCTTAAAATATTGAGTTAGTATGTCAGAAAAATTAGAAACTTTTTTAAAAAAAATAAATTAGTATGTCAAAATAGTAAGAAACTTTATAAAAAAATATAAGTTAGTGTCTTGAAATAATGAGAAACTTTCTTAAAAATAACAAGCATCTAAAAATAATGACTTTGCATCTCAAAATAATGATAATAAAAATAATGTGAAAATAATGCTTCTCATCGTTTTGAGCTACTAAGTCATTATTTTCCAAAAGCTTTTCATTATAATGACTTACAGGATGTTTTTTTTTCATCACACTGGCAGAAATGGGCTTCCATAACTCACAGTGTACATGACACATGACAGAATTGAAGCCAAACACTTGTCACAGAATATGAATGATTTCAAAGTGCGCTAATTCCACCACACACTCACATTTTTAGGGATGAGGTAGCCTCCAACCTGGATGTCTCTCTCTGTAATGACTCTGGCATTAGCAGGAATAACTGGATACAACCTGGAAAACGAGACAAAGTGAGCAAAATGAAATTGGCTTATCCTATCATAAACTTCATGTCCTCAGGAAATGAATCTTCTGAGTTATACCTGAGCACTTCTTTGATTGTGGCCTTCAGCAGAGGCATGCGGGCCACATCGGCTGCCTCAGGAATGCTCCGACCCTCCAGCACGCGCAACACCTCATCCCGCAGTGATGCCTGCACCTCAGGGTGACGTGACAGCTCATACAATGACCAGGACATGGTGCTGGAGATCTAAAAAAGACAGATAAGATGTAAGAGAGGATAATAAATCAAGGAGAAGTGATGGGCAGAATCCAGCGAAGGAGAGGACAGAGTTATATCCTTACCGTGTCGACTCCTGCAAGGAGCAGCTCTGTCACGTTGCTGTAGACAGTCTTCATGGGCAGCCCGGTCTGCGACAGGAAGTAGGTGAGATAATGGCCCTCCACGTTCTCTCCACGGGCGACCTTCTCTGCTTCAGCCGTCAGACGCTGGTCAATGTGGCCTTTTGCTGGAGGCACAGAGATTAGAGGCGGTTACGACAGTGAAGGTGCAGCGTGTACTGCAGTCCTGAGCTTCCTGGTGTGATTTTTAATAAGCTACAAAAACCATAAATTAATTGTGATTATAAACTAGACTTGATATCTGAGGAAAACCACCAGACAGCTAGGTTTGTTTTATATTCTAACCACACTTTGACCACCATGACTGATGCTCAAGACCTCAGCGCAGACGATCTTGCAGTGCGTGAGGGTTAAAGACTTTAATCTCCTGCTTCCTGATCCAGTTTGCACCAGAGCGATTATTTTAAACATGTTCAATTCAGATCTGGATGAGTCTTGATGCACTGTAAGAGTGAGTGGAACGAAAACCAGGCAAACCAGCAACAGCCAATGACAAATGGGAAGGGGGCGGAGGGAAAGTAATCAGAAAGTGTGGAAAGACATACAGAGTGTTGCGCCTCTGTGTTTGTTTTGGTTTCATGTTTTAGTGAAGTGCTAGCTTGTGTAGGGTCTGCTAAACGTCCCTGCTCACACACATACACACACACACACACACACACACACACACACACATATATATATATATATTTTAAATGTATTTGATTGTTATGCTCTATTTTTTGTTATTTCTTTCTATTTTCTCACATTTAAAAGCATTTTTGTAAAATATAGTGTTACATACAAAAGTAGGGCTGGGCAATATATTGATATTGTGTCAATATCGTGAAATGAGACTATGTATTATCTAAGATTTTGGATCATAAATGTTGACTTTCCTGGATTTAAAGGCTGCATTACAGTAAACTGATTTAATTTTCTAAAGTGTACTGGTTGTTCTATTATTTGCCTTTACCCACTTGTCATTACTGATGATTATTTATCAAAAATCTAATTGTGTAAATATTTTATAAACGCACAAATAATAGTTGTTGCAATATCGAGGTATTCGGTCAAAGATATGATATTTGAGTTTCTCCATATCGTCCAACCCTACATTCAATCATCACTATTGGAATTAATATTTCTAAGAAGGTGTACATTTTGCTTCTTCTCCCCGTGCCCACACTAAACTCCAAAGATTAGCAGTGACCTACCAAAGTCGAACATGTAGTCCCAGCACTGACAGAAGACGTTCCAGGGTTTAGGGAATAGCTGGTGCAACCACTTGGGCATGGCCATGGTAAGAAGCGTCATCACAAACATGGTGTTGATCGACTGGATGAAACGCTCTGTCTCTTCAGGGACCACCTCATCAAGGCAACCGATCCTGGATTCAAACAGCACGGAGGAAATGCCTGTCAAAGAAGAAAAGAAAGAAAGGTAAATGAGGAGGTGAGAAAGACACGGCACACGGGCTGAAAGATATGCACTGTAAACTCCAGCTGCACAGGGAGATGAAACCACATCTGAGGCTTTTGGATTGTAATGTTTTTATTTCTCAACAACAGTTGGCCCGGCTCCCACTCAACGCCGCAATCATTTTAACGACGGTGGAGTAAACGTTAGAGCGCCGTGCATGTGACAACACAGTCACTGGACTCGAGCTGTGTTTAGTCTGGGGAGATGTGGGCAAGGAAAATGAATGAATGTACAATAACTCTCTGATCCTGAAAGAATAACTGCTGAGGAGCCTCGAGGCAGAATGAGGACCAAATTTAGCTGCACTCAATAATCAGCGTTAATATGAGCTGGTATTAATCTAAATTTAGGAAAGTACAAAGACCATTTAAGAAGTATTCTACTTAGGTACAATTTTGAGCTACTTGAACCTGACTTGAGTGTTTCCATTTTAATATATGTTTATAATCAACTATATTTCAGAGGAGAATACTGTTGTTAGTTATCAGTTGTCAACTATTAAATTAATCACCAAATAATTTGACAATTGATTAATCAATTTGAGTAATTTATCAAGAAAAAAAAAGTCAATATTCCCTGATTCCAGCTTCTTAAATGTGAATATGTTCTGGTTTCTTTACTCCTCTCTGACAGTAAACTGAATATCTTTGGGCTGTGGATGAAACAAGACATTTGGAGACAGTGATCGACATTTTCTCCCCATTTTCTGACATTTTATAGACCCAACAACTTTTCTATTTATGGAGAAAATAATTGACAGATGAATACATAATGTAAATACTCATTAGTTGCAGCCCTTGTGCAAATTTTATACACCAAATATATGTTCAGTTTATAGGGTATAATGCTGTGTTGTGGGTTAAACTTCTCAAAAGTATGTAGTAAAGTAGCTTAAATTATCTCTAGCTCTATCTTAAGAACCACAGCATTAAATTACACATTACACAGTAATGCATCAGTGACAATTACCCAATATAATATAAATGTATAATAACGTGACACTCTGAAGTCATTCATTCTGCTTTTCCTACTCCTAACTTTGAATGCAGGACTCTTACTTTTCCTTAAGTACAGGACCTGACTAATTTTTTCCACCACTGGACCTACGAGCTAAAGGTTACTTATTGTCGCTCTATGATGGAAATGTTGAAACTATTCGGGCTCAACCAGCGTTGACAGACGTGTGTTTAAAATGTCAGTGTAATCACGTAATACTGCTTCCTGCATGTGGCTGGCCCTAATTACCCATGTTTACACGGTGTGGTACACCCTGTAGTGATGCATGACGTGACCACTCCTCAGACCACATGAAACCTTACCCTCGAGGCCGAAGCGATAGAATTCGCTGGCGATGTCGGTGACGAGGCCCTGGGAGCGCCTGCGAAGGCGAAGTTTGGCAACGAGGTCGCTGACCACGCCGTTTAGGGTTTTATCATAAGCTTCCACTGCTTTTGGTCGCAGCATGTGCTTCCCCAGGAGACTTCTTACTGACTGCCACTCCTCCCCCTCACTGGGAACACACACAGAGTAAAAATGAACAAACGGTCATGTTAGTAAAGTATTTCAGCTGCGCTACATCAGGGTTTCAAGGGTGTTTAACAGCTGGAATAAAAGGGTTTTGTCCACTTTATGTCATTCAGAATCAGAAAAGAACTTGACACCAGACATTGGTAATACAGTAAGAGGGTAAATAATTCAAAGCCTTGTAAGTCGAACGTCTCAGCATTACACTTGTAGGACGTCACAGATCTGTTTTCCCTACCCTTTGATCACTACGGCCGTTTTCCATTCTCAGTTACTTTATTACATCACTTAAGGGCCACCACATATCATTCAAGTTTACTTTAAATCTGACACTATCTTGTGATTTGTGGGTTTCTAAAGAGAGAAGAGGAAGTCTCAGAGTGACACTCACGCTGTCAGGAGTCCATAGTGGTGTCCTCTGAGCTTCCTGTAGTCCTTCCAGGAGGAAAGGTCAGAACGCATGGGGTGCTGGCCCTCCTGCCTCAGCACCTGCTCAATGAGCGCCGGATCAGCCACATGAACCGTAAGGATGGGGCCGAAGCTCGCCTTCCACATGGGCCCATACCGCTGTGCTCCTTCCAGCTGGGACATGAAAGACAAAGAGAGAGGAGCGACCTTGTGAAAACACTGCAGGCTATGAGGTGATTGGCGTCATCTTTAGATGCACTGTCCTTTACTGTGAAAAGCGCAGTGCAGAAATGAAGACGCACGCAGGCTTTTCTAATTCACTAATGATGAATCGTTTCTGTTGAAGTTACGTAACTTGACAGGCACAGTTTAATCAGCCATACCTTCTTCTCTACTTGACAAGACAGTAATTATAATATATACTGAGGAGGGAAACAGCCTCTTCCAATATTTAAATAAGCCCCTCCCCAATATATTGATGAAAAGTCATATAGATTTTTTTCCTTTTTTTTTGTCACTCTTTATATTATACAACTTAGACATAACAGGTCATCCTAGGCCAGCCAGGGGAGGGGAGGGAAAGGGTTAGACATTAGGTTAATTTTTCTTCTGGAGTTTCAATACCGGCAACATTTGTAAAACATGTGGACACATATGGAAGATATGTGACTGTAGATATATGATTTATTATTAAAATAATACATTTATGGATACATTTTTTTTTTCTGGGGTGGGGTTGACACCCTGGCAGATTTGGTCTCCATGAATGTGACTCCATGGTTACGGCCCTGCTACTTGACATTGATAATTGGTGGTTAAATGACCTGTAAAGTTATAAAATGTTTAACTGTCTCAAAAGGTAAGTTTAGATTAAAGCCCCCTTCAACTCAACAGTGTCTTGCTTATTGCTTGATGGATGATGTGTTATGTGCAGAGCTTGACACTAAAAGACTGTTTTCACATTCATCTGCTGACAGGGAGAAAGTTTCTCTGTGCACACCTTAGATCTCAGAATTTTCCACCCACACATCCACCCATGATCAGAAATGCATTCAAGCTGTCCGTCCTTTGCATCATTTTAAATCATTTAATCCACCACGTTGCAGCCTATTGAATGCATTTGTATTATAATATATATGTTGTGGCTCCTCTGCTGAACCTCATCATCTTACCTGCAGCTCGTGCAGCCGTGACAGCCCCCGTTTGGCGAACAGGTCCCAGGCGAAGCTGGCGACCGACGGTCCGGGCATGTCTTGCAGAGTCTTCACCGCCTGCTTGGCCGATGCGCCCTCAGCCCATCTCTCCATCCACTTGACCAGGGGGAAGGCGCTCCGGCCGGATACTCTGAGGGCTTGTTGCAGCATCCTTCTCACGATGATCATGAGGCGGTGGCCGGACACGGCTCTCCTGGATGTCGGTGCTCATTTTGTTTTCCCCGGCTGGAGGCAGTATTTATAACGCGCGACCTGCTCCTCGAACCCGCGGAGATAAAGCTGTACATTTTTTTAATCTGGGCCAATCACGGGTGTAAATGCGGCACAGGCCCCGCCCCCTCCCGACTGGATGAGACACTGAAGGCGTGAGCCGAGAGGAAGGTGTGTCCAATCAGAGGGCTGAGCTCAGACCGGCCCAGAGACGGCACACGTGGAGGTCCTGGATAAATAATAGCCGACATGACTTCTGTGGTACTGTCGAGGCTTATCTCCCTCCTCCCCTCCCCCGGTGCAGCCCTTTGCTCTCTGATAGTCCATCAGACAGACAGACATGTTTCGAGTGATCACGCACATGTGGAAATGAGGTCTTGTGTGCTTAATAGACCACTTACCCCTCAAGGCCAATGTTATTATAGATCCCATTGACTCAGACAGGCCAGAGTCTCAAGTAGAAACAGATGAATCAATAACCAAACAAAGTGGCCTAAATTACTATTTGGCCACGCTCACTAAGCATCACAAACAGGCTTAATATAAATAAAAAGGGGTCTGTTGAGGGTGAACAGTGACAAAGACAGAACATTATGTTGAGCTTAACCTGGAGAAATAAGCAGGGACAGCCTGAGTCTCTTTCAGACCTGGCGGGGCTTTGTTTACCCAGCTATGACCAATTCTTTTGCTGACTTGGTGGGTTTTCTAGCGAGGGAGAATATCCTGACCTGATTTCATTTGAACTGGAATTTGTCCAAAGCACCATGTGTGCGGACTGTGAAGTAACAACCACGGGGCTGTACTCAGAATCTGCTTTGACATTTGCTCTACGAATGCTTTAACTAGAAATCTTAGATCACCCAGTTTCCCAGAAACACTGAAGATTGACTGGTGAGCTCAGTGGGACCAGCGAGGCATAGAATTTACACTTGACTGACTTTCTTATCCTTTATGGTGCATTTAAACTTGTTCAGTGTTTGCAGGATGAGCCTGCTGAAATGTATCATCCTTTTTCCAAGAGTGTACTGACAAGTCATTAAGCCTAGTGTGTCAAACCATGACACAGTCAGTGTTATCAATTCAGAATTTTGAAAGTACAAAGTATAAATGCAAGAGCAACTTGAATCAGGACCGTAATCACCTTTTTAACATTGAGGGGACCATCTTCATTTGACACCCTCTGCGCCCCAACCCTTCAGGATCTGGGGGAAGTAACCTACAGGAGAAATTTTTAGAAACTTAACAGCTAAACCAACCCAGTCTCACTCTGAAGTCCAACACCGCTCTTCGACTTTCATTCGGAGAGCGGTGTTCGTGTCCTGTAGGATTATACAGCCAAACCCTGTTCTTTTTTACTAAACCTAACCACCTGTGTTTGTTGTGGTAGGAGAAAAAAAAATGTAAATTCAAGTTGTTGTACTGACATAGTGTGATTATTTTTTGAAAGAGACCGTATGTAAACGGTAAATTTCCTGTGAAAACGGAAGTGAATCTTGAAAGAAGACAATATATGTAACAGACAGAACTTCACACGGCGCCCCAGAACGTCAAAACCAATGCACCCAGGGAACCCTGCACGTCGTGTCTGGACATGGAAGGTCTATGACCAAACATCAATATGTGATGAGTGGTCATAGAGTGAGAATATGTTGGCTAAATTGACCACCAGGGCATCTCAGAGTTTTGATGATTAAGTGCCATTTCAGGGAGCGAGCTTACGATTCAGGACCGCATGGGAGAAGTGCACACACTATGACTTTTTAAATTACATTTTTATGACATACTAACACTTTATAAAAACACAAATTGACAGTGATATAGCCTACATAAAACTCATATTATATTCTAGTTTTTCACTTTTAATACCTTTGAGAGTGATGAAATAGAGAGACAGTTCACTGTTTGACACCAATTGTACCCACAGCAGTCGAACAACTGCATCTGCAGTGGAACGGCAACGCCACTTGCGCAAACCATGTACAAAACTGCGGCACACCATAATATTAGAACCACTAGTAATAGTTTTTTATGATTATGATTACATTTGCTGATGATTATTTCAGACGATGGAGCTAAAATTGGTTATGGATTTAATGTGTGACAGTAAGTTATTCCAATCAATGCAGAGACTGGGAGAAAAGAGAGGGGAAGCTGATCAGAGTGTCTTAATAAATACACTGAGGCATAAAAATTGCTTCACATAAGACTGATAATTAAAAATAATGCATTAAAAAAAAAGAATATCAACCAATTACAATATTCTGTCATTTAGACAACAGCCTCATGCATATCACACTGATAGGTATAAAATGAATATTTCAAAATAAATCTACATTAACTGTTGTAAATAATATTAAAAGGTCAAAGGTGGGACATAGTGTTATGACTCATTATGTCAACATAACCCAAAATAGGTGGGTGGCAAGGTTTTCCTGACATTGATGAAAAATAATGTTTGGACCTATAACGCACAGACCTTGATTTATTTTTTTATTACAACATCATCCATGAGGGGCTCAGAAACAACAGTAATATCAATGTATTTTAAAGAATCAACTTATAATAATATAAATCCCTCACTGTATGTAATTTATAGTGTACTCTGTAGTGCCAAGAAGCCTATGGTATGATCAAAAACATTCTTGTGTGTAATCCCTTCTGAAACATATGATTAATGATCATCCTTTAAGCTACCTATCACCCCAATACCAGGCCTTTGCCATTTTAAATCATAAGTTATTATGACCACAATAATGTATAGCAAATACCACTTCTAACAATAGCCTACCGCAGGCAAATGCTTAAAAGGTGCATATATAAATGATTGCAGCTTGGAGGAGAAAGAAATATAGGTTGGTGCCTGAAAATGAGCCCAGCAGCTTACTAAAGGTTGTTAAAAATGACATATTAGCGTTTTCTTCTGTCTGCTTATAATGATATATAAGAATAACAGTGGACAGCGTATTATTCATGCAGGAGTATCCGGCAGATTTACTACAGGTCTGCTGCCCTGTAATGTTCTAACTTAATCACGAACAGACAGTGTGGAGTTTTGCTGAGTGAAACACTGATTAAGAGAAATCTGTTCCCCACTGCAACATCACATGTCTGGCCAGCATGATGCTGGCTAATAAAGGGTCTCCCCTGACGTGATAGATGAAATTTTTTGATCATTTTTTAAAATTGAGAAAGGTTCAAAAAGAAAAGAAAGAAAGAAAAAAAGAAACATTATACAAAAAAAAGAAACATTATACATCATACATTTTACCCTTCTCCCCCCATGCCTTGTTACAGTACAGTGCAGTGACTTGTGAGTAGAAATAAAATTAGAGGTCGTAAACATAATTTGGCTTTTTTCTGTGTTATGTTGGAATACATCATGACATCCTGCAGTCTGTGAGGCAACAACAGATTCTCCTTAATTGGTCTCCAAGAGACTAAAGAACTAAGATTGAACCATGTACAGAGAGGACAAGAAGTACATCTTAAATTTGATAGGGCCAGCCCCTCTTGTGTCTTGTCTCATCAGAGAATTGTGACTTTTAAACAGGGCCTCTTTTCTTTCCATATGAATTTGGAGATAAGTGAGTGAGGTTTTTCCCAGTAACCAGTGTAAGGAGAAAGAAGGATAGTCCATACTAAACTATTGATATAACGGCTTGAAGAGCTCTTGAAGAGGTGATTGACCAGCATTCAAAGTCCTTCTGTACCCAACTGTATATACCATGAAAGTTTTGTAATGGAATGAAAGATGTAGAAAGAAAGTCATTAACACCGAGATGCCTGTAACTCCATTGGCATATGGGAGGGCAGGGGAATTTGAGATATAACTGGGCATGAATGCATCAGCACTGACTTTGTCCAGTTGATTTCATAACCAGATAGAGAACTGAATGTATCAAATGTGGAAAGCAAATATGATATTGATGAACATGTGTTACCTATGTAAAGAAGGATATCATCAGCATACAATGATATTCAGTAAGCTGTACTGCAAAAAGTAAGAGGATGCACTGATGGATGCTGTCTGATTTTTTCAGCTAATGGTTCTTGGGAGAGGGCGAATAATGGCGGGGGCAGACCTAGCGAGTTCCCCTTGATACTGCAAACTGGGCGGAGCAAGTATTGCCAGTGTTGACCATTGCCGAAGGATTGCATGTAAGGCTTTGATCATGGAGATGAATTGCATGCCTAGCCCAAATTTATCCAAAGTAGCCCAAATATAATCCCATTCTAACCAACTGAATGCTCTCTCGGCATCCAGCAATAAGAACGAGCAGGGAGAGGTCAATACTACCCGCCATGTGAATGATGTGCAGCAGGCGACACACATTATCAGATGCTAGACAAGTTGTAATGAAACTAGTTTGATCATTGTGGATCAGTTTCATTAGGTGTACCTTTAATTGAGTCGTAAGTACTTTAGCACATGTTAACATTCAGAAGGTCGAGATGTCTGTAAAACTGCATTGAGGCAGATCTTTAATTGTTTGGGAAGCACTGTGGTTGTAGCAGTGTGATACATGACATTTTGATTTTTAGCAGCTAGCTGTTGTTATGGGATCCAGTGCAGAATATTTAGATATTTGTTTATTTCTTCTTCTTTTTTTTCCTAGGCCAATCTTATATGTTGGCATTCTGCAAAGGGCAAGCAAAGTGTGCATGATTTTTCTGGCTGGGGGCTGGAGGAAGATTTAACCTCATGAGTATGACCTATACTGCTTGCGTAGACTGAATGTGATAAAAGCCAATATATCTAACCGATAGTAAAAATGTCATGAACTAATTTTGGTCTGATAAATGGAAATGTTGAAAAAAAGTCAGGGGTTCTGGGTTGGTTTAGTGGAGATTTACACAGACCTCGGTGTAACAGTTAAGTAATATCCACAATGGTCATGATTTATCAGCAGTTGTCTGCACGAGTTCTGATCACACGACACAGGAAAAAAAGCCACAAGAACTTATTTAAAGACACAGAGGTCAA